TCCTGCAGAGTACATAACTTTAGAAGAAGAAAAAAACCAATAACGTGAACTAAATACGGACTCCTCTAGATGAATTAATCCCTCACAAAGTTAATGTTCAAGGGATTGCTCCAAAAATCAAGAGACACAACAATGCTAGTGTGTGAAGGGTTTTTGAGAACCAATGAAGTTAAATGACTGGATTCACTAGCACTCGCAAGAGGCGTTGTCCAAGTGTTGGTGGTGAACAACTTTAGCTCCACTCGTTTTGGTCACAACCAATTCTTTCACAACAATTTCTTCAAGAATTTGATGCGAAACAAGGCCAGGTCTCCTCCAATTAGATCAAGTGTTTTCCAGTGGAGGCTCTATAGACAACATAGTCTCAGAGTACAGCAAGAATCCTGCATTATTCAGCTCTAATTTTGTATCTGCCGTGATTAAATTGCGAGACATATGTTCTAGATCAGCCAGCCATATAAGGAGGGTGTTTAGTGTCATCAAATAATATTATATATTTGCTTAGAAATTTCTTCTGTTAAAGGGTTTTCTGAAATTGTTTGTTCTTTCATTTTTCCAAGTATAAATATTTAACAATCAAAAAAATTCCTTCATTGGTTATCTTACCCAATATTAATATGGAGCCTCGTGCGTGTATTCATTAGGCCTTTTGCATTTAATGGAACTTATAGTTAAAAAAAAAACAAATAATAATAATAATAATAATGATTGTAAAAGGAAAAAAGGTAGAATTTATGCACCGGCTTATTTCATGGTATGAAGTAACTGGGAAGGTTGCTAGAACTTGCAAAGGCATTTAATTTTCATGGAGTTGAAGATTGTGAGATTAAACGTATTCTAGCTACAAGAGTAATAACAATGTTTGTTTGTTATTTAAATATGTAAAATAATAAAAGATAATTTAAGATCTACCTAAATTTAGGAACATATTCGGTAAAAAGAAAAAAAAAAAAGAATATCTTGTTTCAAGAAAAAAGAGATCAAGACATTTTTTCCCACAAACCGTAGCTCTCAAGTAAATTAAATTAAAAAATTTAGTCTTGAAAAGTTATCGATTTGCTCATCAAATATAGAACTAGTTTAAATTAAGCAAACACTAATAACAATTTATTTAAATAAAATTATGAAATTTTTTATATGCTAATTATCTTTCTAATGCTATCTATGACCCATGGAAAGGAAATCAATTAATACTTTCATGTCGTTGTGTCATTAATTTTAAAATACATATATCCACAAATTTCAAAGAACTCTAAGTCTTAAATCTGCAGCAAAGATTTAACTAAGGAATTATACATACGAGAAATTGAAACTTACCCAAATGGAACAAAATTCCCTCTTCTGAAATTAATTAAATGAATATTTATTAATATGCTGCAAAATCTAGAATCTAACATTTTTTAGAGTGCACAAGCCTATAGAATTACCATGATGCCTTGGTACTATTTTGCTCATCAATTTATGAACTATTCTTTGGAAGACTCTTTCAAAACTAGTAAGATTCGTAGAGAGAGAATTCTTAACACACCTAACCTTGAAAATTTCTGAGTTTTCTGAATATGCTCTTGGCATTTTGCGTACCGAAATCTAAGAAAAAGAGTAATCCAAATTTAAAGGCTACTTTGTAGCTTTTTTGTTCTTTGTTCTTTGTTTTTTTACTTTGCAGTGTAGGTAATTAGGTTATTGAAACAATCATTACAAAGAGAGAAACTACGAATGGTAAGCCGCAGGCATTATATTCTTTGGTCACAATTGTTATTTATGCCGCCTTGGAAAGTCAGACCAAGAAAATGATTTCGTGACAACTTGGCTTTTGACAGCGTGTAATAACGTTTTTTTTTTTTTTTATTATATTCTTTGATTTCTTTTTTTTTTTTTTTTTTTTTTATGGAGGTCCTTTATTTTATTTAATTGAGATTTTTTATTTTTTAAAATTTTTTATTTTAAGGTTTCGTTATAACACCGTCAATCGGTGATCAACACATAACATTGTAAAATAAAAAATCTTCAAAAATAAAAATGACATCGATTGTTGACTCGGTGGAGTTATAAAAGAAAATTTGAAATAAAAATTTTAAAAAGTAAAAGTTCTCAATCAAGTAAAATAATAATAATAAATTTTAATTAAAAAATGTAAAGAATACGAAATCTAAATGTGTGAGAAAAACCAGATAATAGCATATCAAATATTTATTTATTTAAATCATAATCTAAGTTGAAACTCTCGTAACTAGATGCATGCATCAAAATTAAATCATGGCTAGTTTGTTTATTTTATCTTTTTATTTTGCAATGATTTTGAAAAATTGGGTTTCATCACATATATCGTAAAGAGAACAAATATGTGGATTGATTAACGGTTTATTGGTAAATTTTGCTTTTATTCTATTATAATTTGATAATTTCGGATCCATAATATTAAATTACGTAATTTTAGGCCCAAACTATTATTTTTGAGCAAAATTAATCCAATTTTATTAATTCTCGTTATATGTAATGGTCAATCGGATTGATCATTACTTAAAATGCCAAAACAACGTCGTTTTCACATTCTACTATTAACTATGTTTTTTTAAAAAAAATTAAAAATATTTTTAACTCCCTTAATCTTTAACATTTTTTAAAACTTTTTTTTATAAAATATTATAAATATTTTATAAATTATTTTAAAAAAATTTATAAATATTTTTAACCCCATAATTTTGAATTATTTTATAAAATATTATAATTTTTTTCTAATTTATAAAACTAGAAGGTTCAATCCTTAATTATGCTCATTTTAATTTATAAAATATTTTTTAAGTTCTAAAATTGTATATTATTAATTATGTTTTTTTACAATAACATTTTATAAAAAAAAGTTCAAAATCATGGGGTTAAAAATATTTATAAAATGTTTATAATATTTTATAAGGAAAAAAATTTCAAAAAAGAAGTTCAATATTAGAGGGGTTAAAAATATTTTAAAAATTTTTCTTTTTTAATAAAATAAAATTAACAACGGAGTGCAAAAGCGACGTTGTTTTGATATTCCAAGTAACGAGTCAACTCAATTGGTTATTACACGTAATGAAAATTAGATAATTTAGATCACATTTACTCAATCTCTAATATTTTGATATTCAAATTATACAATTATCAAATCATAATAGAACGAGGGTAAAATTTATCATTAAACCACTTCTATTTTTATGGTTTAAATTGATTAAAAAAAGATTGAGTGCGATTTGAGATTTGAAAGAGGATTTATTTTTCTCCGAGGCCATAACGTGGTTAAAAAAAGTCCGTTAATATATCGTTATGATTGTTTCTTATCAGGGAAAGATATTAAAAGGTAAAAAGGAAATTTGACTTTCTAGACTAAGATAAACTAAAGCCAAAACCATGGAGAGCTCACGTACATTGACCGGGCCCATATGGACTAATTGTCTCTTCTTATCGGTAAATTATAAATTAATTTTTTTTAGTTTAGAGAAACAAATTAATAAGTCCTTTCTTTTGAAAAAACTAAGTATTTTTTTTTTGTCTATTATATGTTTTTTAATCATGTTTTATTTTTTTAGAAAAAAATGATAATATGCAAAGATTGATAAGAAAAGAAATATTTTTTAAAATAATGTAAGATTAAATTAAGTATTGTTAATACTGATAAAGAAACTAAATAATTAATTTTTTTAAAACAAGAGAGACTAATTTATAATTTACTCCTCTTCCGGTCTTACTTAATCCTATCTGGACAATTCAGCAACGCTGCTTTGCTATTAATAGCTGCAATTTACAAGCGATAAACGAGTTCTTAAGATCATTGGCAGCATTTCATGTAGCTTCTAAGTAAAATCAGTTTTGACCTATGGCAGCGATACTCAATACGCCGGTATTTTTGCCACTATATCTAACATTTCTTGTAGAGCTATCAGACAGGGAAACTAACTAGCAAAGAATTGTAAGCATACCTAAAGCTAGTGATCAGGATACATCGGGGGCTCAAGACTTAGCGTGATGCCTTAGTACAGCTTTGCGCCTAAATTTGTGACTATTCGTTAGAAGACTTTCAAATTAAGTAACCAAAGAGAATTCTTACCGCCTAACATTGAAAATTTCTGGGTTTACTAATGCTTTTGGCATTTTGCTTACCAAAACCTATGAATCCAGAGGGGCTGCTTAGTATTTATTATTATTTTGCAATTAGTTGCTTGTAGCTATGGTTCTCTACTAAAAACTATCATCAGATAGTGAAAAACTATGGATATCTAGGCATTATGTTCTCTTGTCACAATTGTCGTTATGCTCTTTAAAACGAGTATAAATATTTATGCCGCCTTGACCAAAAATCAGAGTAAGAAAATTATTTGATGGCAACTTGGCTTTTGACAATACATAGTAATTTACCAAATCTTCTTCTTAAAAAAAATTAAATTAAATTAAATCATAATATTCTAAAGTGGAAACTTTTAAAGATAGTTATAAAGAGACATGGTCTAAGAAGCAATTTAGTGCATGATGGATCAAAAGTTAGATATGTTTTGATACTAGCTTAATTATCTAAAAAAGTAATGGACTTAGTTTCGATTGATGTAAACAACTAACTATAATAATCCCTCGGTAGACGGTAATACCAAGTTTGGTTAACCAAAAGCTAAGCATATTCTAACATTGATTTTACTCAGAAAAATTTTTAGTTTCAATTGATGTGAAAGCTAGTTTGACAATACCCCACTACACGTAAATATAAAAAAGAAAAAAAAAGAAACTCTTAAGAATATGCAGACATCAAAATTGAACCATGCTATAGACGTTATTCCGAATGGTTTTTACTGAAACAAATCTTAATTAATGACCTTAATCATCCTCTATAAATGGAAGAGTTCCCATATGCATTCTACTCCATCCTCTATATCTTAATTCTCTCAATTATAGCGTCTTGTGTTAAACTACACCAGCAAAATTCTAGACAATTTGTGTGAATAAAAACGGTGTTACTCCAGAGAAAACACAAAGAAATGGCAGTGAAAGCGGCAACAGCTTTCTTTTTTATGTTGTTTTTCTTGAGCACAGCATGCCAAGCAAAACTCTCCTCTACATTTTACGACAAGTCTTGTCCTAATGCACAGAGGACTATCAGAACTGCCATCGGAACTGCAATAGCGAGAGAGCGGAGAATGGCAGCGTCTCTCATTCGTCTACACTTTCATGATTGCTTTGTGCAGGTACTCTTGCAACTATATCCACAAACCAGCAATTATTCTACTCGATCTAGTCATCAACTCTGAGCTATCACATATTGTTGACGAACTATTCCGTGGTTTTGCAGGGTTGCGATGCCTCAATTTTATTAGACGAGACTTCCTCTATCCAGAGTGAAAAGACTGCACCACCCAATGATAACTCTGTTAGAGGTTATGAAGTCATAGATAAAGCAAAAGCTGAAGTAGAGAAGATATGTCCTGGAGTAGTATCTTGTGCAGACATCATTGCGGTTGCAGCAAGAGATGCATCTGCTTATGTGAGTATTTGTATAATTAATATGTCTTTATTTTTGTTAGTATTTCAAGTTACAAAATTAAGATTTCTAATTTATGATTACTCCAAAATAATGTCACAGGTTGGTGGTCCATCTTGGGCAGTGAAGCTTGGAAGAAGAGATTCGAAAACTGCAAGTCCAACATTAGCAATCACAGAACTACCTGCTTTCTTTGAAAGCCTGGACAGTCTTCTTTCTCGCTTCCAAAAGAAAGGCCTTAGTGCAAGGGACATGGTTGCTTTGTCAGGTTGGAACTTATAACCATCAAAAGAAACCTTTAGCGTGACCACCTTAATTAATTTATCTGTAATGTTCCTGATGCTAAAAATATTCATTTTGGCAATGCAGGTTCGCATACTCTAGGACAAGCTCAATGCTTTACATTCCGTGACAGGATATACAATGACAGCAATATTGATGCTGGATTCGCTAGCACTCGCAAGAGGCGTTGTCCACGTGTTGGTGGTCAAGCAAATTTGGCTGCACTTGATTTGGTCACACCCAATTCTTTTGACAACAATTACTTCAAGAATTTGATGCGAAAGAAGGGTCTCCTTCACTCAGATCAAGTACTTTTCAATGGAGGCTCCACAGACAGCATTGTCTCAGAATACAGCAGAAACCGTGCAAAATTTGACTCTGATTTTGCATCTGCCATGATCAAAATGGGAAATATCCGTCCTCTCACTGGATCAGCTGGGCAGATAAGGAGGATTTGTAGTGCTGTCAACTAGTTCATTCCCTATTAATTTGCTTGATTTTTTTTTTTTTTCCTTTTACAAAGTGTGCAGACTCCTCCAACTAGTTTGGGATAGAGGCCTGGTTGCTGTTTTTGTCAAGTGTGCATATGCATAAGTGTTATTTGTTTTCTCAAATTGTCAATTCTTTTATGTTGGGAAGAATATAGTAATAATCAAGGAAAGTTAATTTGTTCGTTTCCCATCTGATCTGATCTGTGTTACGTTTCCTTAATTTATTTTTGTTCTTTTCTAGGACTCATTAAAAAGTACGAATAACAAAGCCAAATAAGTCCAGAACCATATATTAAAATAATGGCAGGAACAAAAAGGAGAGTGAAAAAAAAAAAACAGTTAAGGGATTGTCAAACAACTTAATGATACTGATTCTACATTCCATAGGAATAAAGGATTTAGATCACTAATGAACACAAGATTCAACTATAATATGCTGAATTGTTTATAATGTTCTCCGTTAAATAGACAAAAACATTCGTATTGTGGTACCCATAATTTTCATAAAATTGAAAAAATAAGAAAGAAAGAAAATCGAAATTTTAAATTAAAACAAATAGGAAATAAAAACTTAAATAGTGAAGATGCAAATCAAATTTTAGAAGGGAAGTTCTCCATTCAATTCAAGAAAATTTTTTGTCATCGCCATTTCAATTTTTTTTCAAGATGTTTAAGTTTTTTTTTGCTTTTTTTAGCGGGTTTTTAAATTTTTTTTTCTAAAAGTTTTTTTTTTTATTTGATGGTTTAGGAGGCATATATCTTCATTGAAAAGTAACAAACTCAAAATATTTAATAAAAAAATTAATTTAAAAAGATCAAACTCAAAATTAAAAATTCAAATATTGATTTTTAAATAAACTAAAATTTTGTACATATTTGATCCATTTAGTCTTCTTTTAATTTGATGCAAAATTTAGAAGATCTGGTACGTTAGGATACCAGACAACTGTCCCAGTTGATGCTAATTATAATGTGAAAAACAGTACATATCCGTTCAAAAACATTCTGTATATATTAATATATATTGCATGTCATAATGCAACTCCAAATTACATGTTATTTATGCGATTAAATATTCATGTCAAGGAGCAGAGGAAAAAACAAGTGTGTTAATAAAAGAGAATCTCTTGTTCAAATAAAATTGTGATGTTGTTTTCTGCTCACCACATGGGGCTTAAAAAAGGCTATGATCCATCACTTGCATGTGAAAGATTTCGGGATCGTTCTTCCTTTTGCTCTTTTTGTCTATATATGTGTACCTGTCTCTTGGAAATGCGATTCAGAAACGATTTTTTTTAAAAAAAATTTATTCAAACCTCTTTTTTTTACATGATTGATATATTTTATTGTTCGAAATTTTTTACTTATACCCTTTGTTATAATAAAATAATTAACGCACTAACTTATTTTAATAATAAAAGAATGAAAAAAAAAAAATAGCCTGCTCAGTTCCACTGTCAATTGAATTTGCCTTGGGAATATTCTAGTCTTCTTCTTTTGATGCATTTGCAGCATTTCCAGCCAATTCCAACACATTCACAACAACCCCCAAAAAAAAAAAAAAAAAATCAGCACCAATGTAAAATTTTTTTTTTTTTTTTGTTTCTCATGGTTTCTCAGCAACCAAACACTCCATGATGAACTGGGAACAATTAATTGAAGTAAAATAAATGCAAAACTAAATGCACAACTCTGCTTCGTTTTTGTCATAACAAGGTAGGCCACAATTTAATGATACTGATTCTACATTCCTTAGGAGTCAAGGATTTAGATCACTAATGAACACAAGATTCAACCTTAAATGCATAACTCTGTATAGTTTCAGGAAAATGGAATAATGCCTTTGGTGAGCAAAAACCATGGCTCGAATTGGTACTACACCCCTAACTTCTACAATGAACAGTAATCACTAATCACACAAGTACATATAGGCAAACTCTAGCTGATTGTTCAAGAATTTTGGCTGATACAGGGCATGCCTTGCATTGCGAAACAAATTAATATGTTCAGCACCAACGCTTCATTTTCCTGTTGAAGATACCCGGTCCAAATGTGGATTTGAAAATCTCAATAAGAAGAGGAAACTGCAGCAATATAAAAAGGGTAACAGGGATTCCAGGAAGTAAACAATTATCAGAGCAGCACAAAAAGCAACCATCATGGTTGCATTAATTGAGATGAAAAGTGTAGAAAGGCCTATAAACATCTTTGTGGACAACCATCTGATGAAATCTTTCTCAGAATAACGAGAAGTGAGAATTCTTAGAAACATCAACACTGATGTAGTTGACGCCAAGAGAGAAATTGCATCAGATATTATAAAAGTCATAAATGACTTTTCATGTAAAAACACTGGAAAGCCGGTGCCTTTGTTTCCGCCAGGAACGGTAAATGCTGCAGTGAACATTACTGTGATGATCAGGGCACCTACAACTGCTGATGAAGTAGCTGTATCCTTTGTGGTTATCCGAAGTTGGACGGCACTTTCGAAAAAATAAAATTTATCCTAGGATTTTAGATTTTATGGTTTTTTATTTTATTTATACAAATGACGTCAGCACCTAATATTAAAGGAATTAAGAACTTAAAATAGACACTAATTCAAAGATTCTATGATAAAGAGTTAGCTACATTTTGGGAAGATATCGATCACCCAAAGACGTTTTTTCCTTAAGAAATGTATCACATCTAATTTAATCATAAATTCAGCTTCAAGAGTATTTTATTTTTACCAAATTATTTTTTAACTTAAATTTCATTTTTTTTTATGTATAACAATAATCTCAATTAGATAAGAGACTTTATTAAGAATTATTATTATTATTATTATTATTTTTGTTAACGACAGTCCCTATCGGATATGAAATTTTATTGAGATTTTTTATTTTATCATTTTTTTTCGTCCAACGACAATCATTATTAGATAGAAGACTTCATTGAAAATTTTTATTAATATTTTTTTTCTTTTGTTATTGATGGAAAAATAGTCATCTGCCCCTAAAGATTAATAGATTTGACAATTAGCCGCTTATTGATTACATAGTCTAATTATTAAATAAATAAAAAAATAATCCACAATTACATTAATTAAATAGAGTAAAAAAATTTAAACATTGAAATGATAATTAAACATACAATAAAAATATACATAAAATAAATTCACAATTAAATGAAATAAAACTAAGATTTTTTTTATCATTTTTTTTCGGGCTGGGAGCCCAATTTTCTTTCTTCTTTCTTTGTTTTTGTTTTTGGGAGACAGCCTCTCCCTGTTTCTTTTTTTTTTTGGGAGAAGGCTGGACTGATTCCATGCCTTCTTGTTTTTTTTTTTTTTTTTTTTAATTTAAGTAGGGCGAGGGGGACTGGTCCAGTCCAGCCGCTTTTTCTTTTTTGCCTTTTTTTTTTCTTTGGCAGAGAAAGGGATGGACTGGACTGAAATCAGTCCAGCCCGAGCGTCCTTTTTTATAACTTACTGGGGTTAAGCCCAGAAACAGGCCCAGGCCAAAAAAGTTTAAGAAAAACGGATCAAACAGCTTCCTGTCCCTCTCTCTCCTATTCTTCGTGTTCTTCGTTTTCTCTCTCTAGTTCATCATTTCTATAAGAAGCAAAGGATTCCTGTTATACTCTCACGGCCTGCACCTTTGAAGGGGCAAAACGGAGACAAGATGGGTTTCTTTGCAAAAGCAAAAGAATATAAATAATAGAATGGATGCCTTTTATTTGTTTAAGGACTACCTTTTGATAGGCTTAATTACAATGGGAAAAGGCAAGAACAAATCCTAGAAAATAAACGAATAACTAAAGACCTATTTTTAAGGAAATAAATGGGGAAACAAACTCCTACATGATAGGAGTTGTTGCCTAAAGACTAGCTGCCCATTACTAACAAAAAAGACTTAGTCTAAAAGAGGAATTCATGCATGATAGAATGACATTGACGAATGACGCTTGGCTTGGATTGTACACTTGGCTTAGGACCGTAACAATTCCTTTCGGTAAATGGTTCAATTAAACACCAACATTCAAACTTTCCTCAATCAAAACACAATTCAAAAACAAAACTTGAACAAGTAACGAACAACACTTAAAAATTAAAGCAACAATGGAATCAAAGCTGGAGAAAATCAAACCCAGGAGCTGACCTGGGAACCTAATGAAGAACAGCAAGAAATCAACCCAAAAAACCCAGCAATTCAAATGAGGAACTCGGAAATTAGCGATCGGAAACCCAAAAAGCAAAAGCTACTGCCCAGAAAAATGAAGAAGAAGTTCAAGAGCTGCCCAGAAAATGAAGCACACGTTCAAAGCTGCCCAGAAATTCGAAGAAGAATTTCAAAAGCTGCCTAGAAAAATGAAGAACACGTTCAAGGCTGCCCAGAAATTCGAAATGGAAAAGCCAAAAACGGAAGAATTGAACCCCAAGTTTCAATAAGGAGGGTTGAAAAACCTGTAAGGATGAAAAATTAGCCCCAAAAAACCCAAAACAAAGAACTAAAAGGCTGGCAATTTGAAGAACCAAAACACAGATTTTATGAACACCAAGAACAATGAAAGTGGCTACCCAGAATTGGCGAGAAAATGCCAAGCCAAATAAACCCCAATTTTTTCGAATTTCAGCTCTCTTTTGCTTTTCTTTTTACTCTCTCTCTCAGCCCACAATTTTTCTAACCCCCCTGGAATCATTTTTCTCTCCCCTATTTATAAGCTAAACTGTGGCATTCATCGGTGAGGGGGTGCTGCTGCAAAAATAGCAGCATGGACTGCTGCCAATTGGGCAACAGAAAAACGGGTGTTTGAAGGTAGAGTGTGTAGGGGAATGTGGCTGCATTAATGGTGGAGTGTGCAGGGGAATGGAATTAATGGCGGAGTATGGGCAGGAGACAAAATTTGCAGAACAACAAAAACGAATTGCATTGGTCATGCCATTCACTTCTAACTTTCACCTTGGTCCCTCCAAAATTCAATCGTCTGCAAGCATCTCCTTTTGTATGCAATTTTGGTCTTTATGAATTGGATTTTATCAATTGGATTCTTTTTATGCAATTTTAGTCTTTGTAAATCCAATTTTATCCATTGGGCCCTCAATTGCTTCAATTATACTTTCATTTAGTTCAATTGCATCATTGGGTGTAAAATCCCCTAATTTTTTGTATTTTTTTTTCTATTTATTTTTTAGTTTTTGTAGTAAATTCTAAAATGAAGTAAATGAAATAAAATAAAATAAGTAAGGAATAAGTTAAAAAACAAAAAATGTGGGAAATTTTTGGGTTATGACATCCTTCATCCATTTCTCTCCTTCTGTCATCAAGTGTTAATGGTTCTTGGTAAACAATTGGCCAGGTGTTTCACCATTTTGATTGCAATATATTAAGGCTACAGGTTTCATAATGCTTAATATTACCTGGTACCGTTGCAGTTCTCTTTGCATTTGAAGTGCTGCACCTGAGATACGAGCCAATTGAGTACAAGGTGATAACACTCCTGCAAAATGTAACCTACTATTTCCGAATTTATCTATATTAGAAATGAGTCCTCCACTGCTTCCTTCAAGCCCGTAGAAAAGGCTAAAAACCTTTTTCTGTTTGTGTGCAATATTTGAAGACATAAAGAAATTTTTGTCATTCTCGTCTATAGTGTACATTAGACTGGGATTAACCTTAACCATCTTGACAATAAGCTCAACGATCCCATTCTCGATGGTTCTGTTAAATGCTCTGAATATCCCACGTTCAGTTTCGTGTATTCAATTTAAAAAACTATCTTCTTTTTGAATCTTTGAGAAAGGAGAGAAACAAGAAGATTGTCTCTGTTTAACGGGAAGGCAATTCGCTATACTGTTTGATTAAACACATTGAATTGTTTGATGATGAAATAATATATTATATATGTTGTGAGTAAAATCAATCTACTGTTTGGTATTTTATTGCTATGTTATTTGAACTAAAATTACGATTAAAGACATAACTTAAAGATTTTTATTAAGAAATTAAAATAAATTACTTAGAAACATGAAAAAAAATTCATAGTTAAAATCAAAAGTCTTGAGTTATATAAGTAATAAAAAAAATCATATAATATTATTAGAACACATATCTCACATTGAATAGTTAAACCAATAATGAATAATATATAAAGTTGAGAACATGCCACCCATCACAAAGGCTTAAGTCTTTTGGATGGAAACCAATCTCAATTATTTAATTTTATATGGGCTCGAGCCTCAAAAAGATACAACAAAGATCCTAGAGCCTAAGCCACTTTACAAACCCCAAAAGATGGGTTACAAGTAAGAGGGAGTGTTAGAATACACATCTCAATAGTTAAATAAACAAAGATCCTAGAGCCCAAGCCACTTGACAAACCCCTAAAGATGGTTTACAAGTAAGAGGGAGTGTTAGAATACACATCTCAATAGTTAAACAAACAAAAGCTTAAATCTTTTGGATGGAACTCAATCTCAACTAATTCTATAAATACTTTCTTTTATTAAGCGACATCGATATTTTATGATTTAAGGTTATTTTTTTAAAATAAAATAAAAAGCGTTCCATCTCAAAATATATATATATATATATATATATATATATATATATTTCATACTTTTTGAAATAAAAGCTAATGTACCTTTAACCTTGCTTTTATAAAATCAATTTACTTTAAAAGTTAAGCTTTTGATTTTAAACTTGTTATCAAACGTTTTTTTTTAATATTTTAATTGCTTTGCTATTAAAACAAAGCAGTAAAAGCTTAAAAAAATAGGAATGTAAACATGCAAAAACATAATTGATTGAAAATAACCAAGATAACTGTTTGAACTTTCATATATATATATATATATATATATATATATATAGTATGCAAGCTTTTCATATTGTGAAGTTGGAGAATCATGCATCATGGATTTGTGATGAGATGACCCATCTACTACTACAATAATTGTGAATAAAATAAGTTAACGAAGTATAGATGGTGTGGTACTATGGCCCCATAGTTTTTTTTTTTTTTTTTTTTTAATAAAAATAGAGACTTGAAATTCAATAAGTGAATCGATTCCTTGAAAATGAGATATAGTATAACGATTACACTGATTTGTTCTCCTGAGTTTCCAAATAAAAAATTAAGGCACTATAAAAAGGAAAAAAGTTTCAATAATTTAACATCTTAATTTGACAACATTATGAAAAGTGCAATATCGTAGGCCAAGTCGTGTTCCATGCCATCCCAAAAAGGCACAAATGGGACGTGCATCATTATGATGATGGCTGAGAAATGTTCTTGCTTTTTTATAAAGTTGTTTTCGTTGATTCGATTCGATCAAGGAAATAAGCAAAAGTGTCTAAAATGATGGTAATCTCCAATGCACAAGAAAAATCATAAGAAGTTTTTTTGCTGGTTAAGGATGTTTATTTTTTTACTTTTTTTTTTAAGTTTAAATCTTGACTTTTGTACCTAAATTTTTTTTTTACTAAATGTATTATATTGATATAAAGATATACCTTTAAGAAGGTTGGGATAAATTTTAATTTTAATTAACATATAAACTATCCTAAAAATACTTTTATTATCGAAAGAAAAAATAACGACAAAAAAGATCACACTCCCATAGCTAGCTGCCATTGCATATCTTGCTTTTTATTTTTTATATCTTAATAACTCCTTTATGTTTCTTCTTTCTAAAAGTAGGGGGAAAAGAAAGAAAGAGGGGTCTACACATGGCATCTTATTGATCAATATATAATTCCTGCAAATTGAAATTACATCTATCTTTATTCACAATTCATTCGCTATTTAACTAAGGAGTTTTTTGTATTTTAATAACTAAAAAATAGATTTAAAAAAAGAAAAAAGAAAATAAAGAGAGGAAGAGAAGGGTAAAATTTCATTTGTAAACTAAAAGAAATCAATGATTTATCTTTGAGCTTAGGGCGTTGGCTCAGCTAGATGCATCTACTTGACTAACCAAAAAAATATTGTTCAGGCAATATGAACTAATATTTATAAATTATATTAACAAGGTATGCTAGTTTAGTTTAGTTTTGATTTTTTTTTTTTTTTTTTTACCTATTGGTGAAATTCGGATATAACTTTTTTTTGTTCATTATCTATATATAATGTCGATCTTAATTAGTACGTAACATAGACCTTGACGCTACAATTTCCTCAAAATCTCTCATTATTCTCTCACATAACATAAGCATGGCAACACATGTTGTCCCAACTGCAATTGTTGTTGAAGTTCTAAGAGATGACAACTACAAGAATTGGAGAGCCTGCATGAAAAGCTACTTGATGGCTCAAGGTCTCTGGGATATCATAGAACCACCACCTGTTGAACCTCAAGAAGTGGCCTTATTAGTCCAGCTTAATCGTAATTTGGCCCAAAGAAATGCTGCAGCTTTACATGCAATTCAGATTTCATGTGCTCCACATATACTTTCCAAGATACGGAACCAAAAATTAGCCAAAGAAGCTTGGGAATTCTTGGAGGGTTTGCTCAGATCACAAAGAGTATACTTAGAAGAGAATCCAGGTAATTCACACCATCTTAAAACCTCGAGTTCTCCAGGAAGAACTTAATTTGATATTACTAGTCACATAAGCCACTGCGTGCGGTTAATCTATTGTAAAGATTGGTCACAATAAGCTTAGGGCATTTATTAATAAGGTAGCATTTCAAATATGAGCAAAATTAATTTCCTTTGTACGAAAATAGTTCTAATTATTTGTTGTAGCAAAATTAATTTCATTTGGACGGTTCATCTAACAATTTCTTTGTTTTATTTATTTATTTTATGAAACTCGTGTGTGTATATATATGATAAAAGCTAATTAGTTATAAAGGATCACAAATTTTTAATCAATAGGAAAAAGTTCTTAATCTTTTTTTTTTTTTATCCTTAATTTTTTTGTTTTTCTCTACTTAATTCCTTTCATCCCGTTGATCAACCTCAAGCAATATTGGGTGTACTTAAAAAGATACGAGTTGTTATTTTAATGACTCATGTACTTTTTACGGGTGCCTAATGTCATTTAATTGAGATTGATCAATGAAATAGAATGATATATATATATATATATATATATATATATATATATATATATATATATATAAGTTTTGGAATCCAAATTAAAATAAATAAAGAAATAAAGACTTTTTTCCCGTTAACTAAAAGTTCAAGTAACCAGTTAGCATATAGTTTTCGCAATTGATTCGTTTATAGCTTCTGGAGAAAAATAGAAACTCATAACATGAAACTACCTTTGGCATGCAGAACCAATTCTCAACAATCAATTTTTGCTTGAGCTACACCAATATGCATATCAAGGTAATTGGAGTGCCATGGAAAGCATTCTTCAAAATCATCCTGATCCAAACTTAATATACCAGCAAACACTACCCACTTTTAGAACAGCCCTTCATGTGGCAACGTTAGCCGGACATGTGAAGATCGTGGAAGAACTAGTGAAGCTAATGACAGAAGAATCCTTGGGAATGCAAGATTGTTTTGGGAATACAGCACTTTTTTATGCTGCAATTGTTGGAATCACCAAGATGGCTGAAATCATGATCAACAAGAACAAAAGGTTGATCACCATTGCAAATGGAGAGGGATATCTCCCCATTGTCCAGGCATGCATATTAAACCATAAGGACATGACTCATTATCTTTACCGTGTGATTCTAGAAAGTAAACATGATCTAGCAAGTCAAGAGTATTCCAGGCATGGATCTTTGCTGCTCCAATATTCTATTGAAAGCCAGATGTTTGGTAAGAGAAACTTTTACTTCTCATTACTCAGTTATTTTTAAAAATATTAATTGTGATCGAGTCCGTTTGCCATACGCTAAAAGTTTTTAGACGTGATTCAGTGCTAATTTTATTCCAAAAAATAGAGGATTTAGTCTTGGTCAATGTAAAAATTAATTCGAAAATATTTTACTATTTATAAATATATATATATATATATATATAAATAATATTCAAAAGTTACTTCTGATTGTTATTCATAATTCAAAAGATTTTTTTTATTATTATTAAAAAGAGTTAATTAAAAGTATATTTGACAAAATATTACTAGAAGCAGTTTTCTTTAAAAAAAAAGAAAAGAAATAAAGGTAGCATGATTAGTTAAAATTAATAAATTAAAAGGTAAAAATTTATCTTAATTTTGTAACAACCATTTCATTAATTTAAGTATAAAAAAAATTTATTTGACGATCTGAAGTATACTTTATGTACGATCTTAAAAAATACATTTTTTACATTTACATTGACCTAGTACTGTAAAAGAAATAAATTATTTTACTCATTTAATTAAGGTTCGAGCCTTAACCACAAGGCCTTTCTTTTAAGATTGTCATAAATTATCTCTAACCAAACATATTTAACTATATAAGTATCTTAAAAAGGTTCGAGCCTTAACCACAAGGACTTGTATTTTGGAAACGATGGATCTATTCATGTAAGTATCTCTTCTTTTAATTTAATCCAACGTGAATGTTTTGCTTGTAATCTTTTTTTCTTTCTGGGTTCAGAGCCCCTTTATGATCTACCAAGAATGAAAATATAATAGAAGATAAAATATGATTATCTTTGAAAACCAGATATATTAACTATATAAGTCTATCATTCATGAAAGGTATCTGTGTAGAATCCCTTCCTGCCTCTGATGAAATCCAAAGCCAAAATGGACAGAAGAACACTATGCTGCAAGGTACGAGATTCATTTGTTCCTAGTTTTTGGGTAAAATCTATTCTTATATAATTAATTAAATCTTTAATTTGTTTTTATATTTTTAATTATATCTATTATGCTTCTGTTTAATATCTAAATCTCTAATAAGTCTTTCTATTAAGTTTTTTTATATATCAAAATTCATATAATTATATATTTCATTCTAAAACTATCATCAAACTATATATATAAACTCAAAGGCAATTATGGAATGAAAAGTTTAATTTTATCAATTTGAGTGAAAAAACTTGGATAAAGCACATAATAGAGGATTGAATACTATAAAAAATATAATAAATATAATTAAAAATATAAGTACATATTGAACTCGTCTAATTATATAATGATAAATTAAGTTGTGTATCCTAATTATTTTAAGAAAGTGCTAAAACTTTGTGCTATTTTGTAATTACTTGTTTTTAATAATTTGCAGTGTTAAGCCGATTGAATGGACTTGCCACTTATCTCCTAAAGTTGGTAGGTATTTAATTTACATCCTTAAAAAATTTACTTGATGAGTACTGATTATTGTTCTTCTACAAAGAAGGAAAAGAGTTTAATTTTGTTTTTATTCTTTATCAATTTAGGATTCAAGCAGATATACGAGTTAAAGTTGATCCACAATCAAAACCTTGAACTTTTACATATCATTTGTAAATATTTGGCAAAAGTAGGGGTCGCAAACTACAAAGCGAATGGAGTATACGAGGCCCTCCAATATGCTGTCGAAAACGGCACAGTTGAGATTGTTACTGAACTGATCAAAGTTAATTCGGATCTAATGACGACGACGGATAAGAATTTAAGAAATCTGTTCTTGTCTGCCATTGCACATAGACAAGAGAAGATTTTCAACTTGTTCTACGGAATTGAAGCAATTAAAGCAGATTTTTTTTCCAGCACTAAAGATAAATTTGGAGATACCATGTTGCATTTGGCAGGAAAACTTTCTTCTTCATCTCGTTTAGCTCGTATTTCTGGTGCAGCTCTTCAAATGCAAAGAGAATTGCAATGGTACAAGGTAATATCCTCAAACTTTGTTAAAGAGAACACTACTCATAGCTCTTCCATCAACTACCCAAGATTGTGGGTAGAATAGTAAAAAGAGTGTCTCTTACTTATGAGGTCAGGATTTTTTTTTTTTTTTTTTTTTTTCATTTGGTCGGATTTTTATTGGGTCAGCCAAATTAATTGGATGATGATCAGGTCTAAATGTTTAAATGGTTTAATTAGAACCCAATCGACCTAGGTTTTAAATACTCAAATGGGTTTCAAATCAACCTGCAAGGTCAAAATGTATTTAACTATACTTCTAGGTTTGAACCTTTCGGAACTTCAGGTAAGAAGGCAGGGTGTTTATGCCTCTTAACTCCTAAACTCATGAAGTTACATTCATATATCCATTTAAGAAGCTTGCATACTCATCTTTCAACTCCTTTAATGCAGGAAGTGGAAAATGTTGTGAACCCTAAGGTTAAAGAGGATGAGAATGTGTTTAGTGAAACACCTGATGTAATATTTACTAAAGACCACAAGCACTTGATGATCGAAGGGGAGAAATGGATGAAAGACACTGCTACTTCTTGTACAGTTGTGGGTGCTCTGATCATTACAATTATGTTCACTGCAGTATTCACTGTTCCTGGTGGTAACTTTCAAGACTCTGGACATCCAATATTTTTACATGAAAAGGCATTTTCGACTTTTATAATATCCGATGCAATCTCTCTCTTTGCTTCCTCAACTTCAGTCCTAATGTTTTTAGGAATCCTAACATCTCGTTATGCTGAGCAAGATTTTCTTAGATCTTTGCCCACAAAGCTTATCATTGGCCTTTCCACACTTTTCATCTCTATTGCAACCATGATGGTATCTTTTTGTGCTGCTCTTATAATCATGTTGGATGGAAAGCTACACATTGTTATGCCAATTGTTTTCCTGGCTGGGATTCCTGTCACCCTTTTCATGTTGTTACAGTTTCCCCTCCTTGTAGAGATCTTCTTATCCACTTATGGACCAGGCATCTTTAATAGGAAAACAAAATGTTTGTACTGATGAAGATGGAAGCAGAGAGAAGATTTTTCTTCTATGGCTTTGAAGAGTTCGATCATAAAGTTCGGTTTGTTTGTGTTCTCATGTAAATAACCTCCTTTATGTATATACCATACCACATGGTTACACTTCAGCTTATGGTGTCTTTTGGCCTTTAATTTGGAGATGTTTGGGTTGCCTATAAGGTAAGATGGAGAGTTTTTGCCTTTGATAAGGGTTTATAAGCAGGTGTGGTGATAGTATTATGCTATGCAAGATTTAAATGTAATATTAGTAGTTTGATTTGATTTAAAAGTAATTTAAGTTTTTCAGGTAAATAATTTTGATGCTGCCAAAGATTCAAGTATCACTAGATCTCAATCAAGCAAATCATCCACACTAATATTGGTTGATTCTCAAGAAATTAAATAATTTAATCCCTTGTTTAAAAAATGAATTAATTAGTTCCTTTATTTAAAAAGTTAATTATTTAACCTTTTAATAAATATTGATTATTCATAATTTAATATTATTTTCATAATATCTATTTATGTTTTATTTTTTATGTATTAAAAAATTAAAAAAAAACATAAAATGTATAAAAAAAAGCTAAATTAGTCTTTTGCATAAACAAGACTCAACATGCATATTACACGTGGCACAACACAATCTGCTAACGTCTAAGTCTTAAGAAAACAATCCACTTACCATGGATTTAATGGTTCTTTTTGAATAATTATTACCTAACAGCTCATACAAGTTCTTTTCTGTTATAAAAAAAATAAAAATAATAAGAGAATTGAAAAAAAAATGATGAAAAACTGATTTCACTATAAAGAGAATATAAAAGAGAACAATTCTAAACAATTCTCACAATTTCCATAAAATACTTGCACATCAACTAATGAATAATCAAATCTATTTATAGACTTCAAATTTGAGAAGAGAATTGAAAAAGACTATAAATAATCAATTGCATTACCCTTTTAATTTCTCATATTGAATGATAAATTAAATCATATTAAGAATCATGAGTATTGAGGATATTAAAAGTAAATGAACATAACGATGGACATTCAATATTTCATAACATTTTCTTTATTTTTGTTCCAAATTGGATCATTCTTTGAGGTATTTAAGCAGTCACAAAAGAAAATTTTGAATATTTTTGAATTTTCACTTGCTATTTGATACTCAATTTGCACATCAATTTGCACATCAATTCTCTGTCCCTTAATGTTTTTCTTGAAATTTTTCTTCTTTCCATTCAGTATATGAAAGTTATTCTTTCACGTTGTTTTTTAGATCTTGCTGCAAATAAACACAATTATCTAAAGAAATAAAACGGCACTGATTTCATTATTATGAAAAGAAAAAATTTTCACGAGAATCATGCCTCTTGTTTTGAAATGGTTAGGCCCTAACAAACGCTTAGGGAAAAAGACCTCAATATTTGGCCTTTTAATATCATCATTGGCTTACCACCCCTCAATTTTTGCTGTAACCTGCAAAAGAAAAAAAAATGTCAATCAGATTGACGAGGGTCCATGGCCACAAATTTGTCACACCACTGAAAAGGTTCACCTTTGGAAAAAAGATATATAACAGAAAATCATAAGGCAGTGCTGATAGATTTAACCATAGAATTTTTCATCTACACAAGACACCTGCACAAGACATCAAAGACAGCAGGAAAAACAGTCTCGAAGCCTTTCTTCTGCCCTTAAAATCACACAGTATATGGTCAACGAGCCTCGTGAATTGCTCCATCATAGAAATCATTTCATATTTGGTAACTTTTACTGCAATACTTATAATTAGCAAATTTGAGACATTTTATGACACACAAAGATTAATTAGTGACATGTATAATAATTACTTCATTAATTCATTTTGAGAAAAAAATAAAAATATTAAATTATATATGAACTCACTAAAAATAATAAAAAGATTTTCATGTTCACTTAAATTTTTTTAATTTTTTTTTCTATCTTTCTTCTTAAAGTGAGTTCATGAAGTAATTATTGTACATGACACTAGTTCTTTTTGTGTATTATAAAATTTCTCAGCAAATCTAACTTGCAAAATCCCAAGTTGCTGTGTGGGATATTACTAACCTCTACAATATTGACAAGAAAAAAGTAGAACGGACCTCACAAGTGAAAGCATAACTCACTCCGATGTTCCTGCCTTCCGCTGGGTGACATTTCCTGAAGATCAAATCAGGATAAAATGCACCGTGTTGGCTCAAAATGTCATCCGAGATAACATTGGGTACAAATTTCACACTAGAAAAAATCTTAATCATGAGAAAACCAGGATAACTAAGTTTTCCAATAATACACTAGGTTATAGTTCAAACATTGAATATTACCAGTATAAATTTGGGGCAAATCTCACATGAGAAGAAATACTAACCATGACGACAAACCTTCTATAGAATCAGGCTTTCATTTATCAGGAAACAGTGGGTTGAGAATGCTGCCACGACAAGCCTATGTTCACACTAGTGACAAAGGTGGGGACAGCAGCAGGATATTATGACCTTAACAACTCTAAGCAAACATTTAGTGGCAGAATTTATGAAGTAAAACTAAAGAATTTATAAAGCATTCCTTGCATATATTTCATATGGGACTGAAGGGAATGAAAAACGTATATAGATACTCATATATCTGAGTTGATAATATGAACGAATAAAACAAGAGAGAACAAATTCCAGCAGGTGTCAGATCTTGGATTTCTACAGAAGCATTCCCTCATGCATCAACATATTATGCTCGGCAAAGTATTACTCTTCCATACGCTACCATCACATTGCCTTCCTTGAAACTGGAAGTCTGGAATTGTTTGTGCACTGCTCATAATAAGTCCCAAGTATCTCTTTGTGGGATTTTTCAACTGCTTAAACCACCATAAAAAGAAATGACAAAAACTCAATCCCTCATTTCTTTTTAAAATGTTAAGAAAATTATAGCTCCATAACTTACAGTCTAGAATGTGCATATGATAACTGTACTGGCAGCACATCTGATTGATGCAAAAGGTCCTTCACGGAGGTTAGAAACCAATGCTGCTATTTTGGAAGTCCCTGAATCAGAATCAGTGGAGGAGGAAACTTAAGCAAGGATTTTCATTCATGATGCCTGAGTACCAAGCAGGAAACTTCACAATGGTAGGCCCATGGGAAACCTCAGAACAAAAGCACATGATGAGTGACAGATAAAAGCCAAAGACTCATCTAAAAAAAATTGAAAAAATGCTCCTATCAGTTGCAAGCCATGAAGCAAATCTTTCCTGCAAAAGGGCCCAAATCAACTAAAGAAGCAGATGTCAACAAAATATATGGAAACTTGATTGCATGCTATAAATGCCAAATTGCATAAGAGATTGAATAATTTCCTTGCATATAACTCCACAATCAAGGAACAAATCCAAAACAAACACTCAAAGCATAGATGGAGCTGATGAACCTTCCCAAATGTCTTGACTCTTCCCATACAAGAAATACTTAAAAGCAATTGGTCCAAGAAATTCCCAAATCCAACTAGCTGTGAGGGAAGTAACCAATCCTAGAACAACAATAAAAGCTCAAATCAGATTGGCTTAATGCCTTTACAGATTGTTATAAGGAAGTAACCAATCCAAGAAACACGATATAAGTTCAAATCAGATTTTCTTCATTGCCTTTTTTGCATCTGGAAAGGATGAGGGCTTGACATGCAGAAATAAAGATCATCAAAGGAGATCAGAGAATAATTAACAAGTTCACCAATGGTTTGAACTTGATTTGTTTGAACTTCTTTGTTCAGATCCATGGAGCAATAAACCTAGGAGGGTATGGAGGGAGCTAAAAGCCTAAAAGAAACAAAGCAACAGTCACCCTGCATATTCAACTCCTTGCCAATCATAACAGACTCCTCAAACATCATCACAGTACTTCTCTTAGGCATAAAGGGAAAGGTGAGAATGGATTGTGCATGTTTCAAGCAACGAAAACACAAATAAAAGTTGATAGATTCGGCAATCAATCAGAATTGAAGATTGTCAAATAACTCATGGCTCGTCTAGGACTCTGTGGACATTGCTGAAGAAAGGCTTAGAGAAACTGCGATTAGGTAAGCGCTTTTTTTTCCCCCTGGAGGGAGCCTGGAAAACGCATTTAAAAACTCCCAAGTTAATAACGAAAACCCCACAAGGGAAGACAAAAGCAGTTACCAAGACAAACTTCGCTCATTTCACCTCCAAGATTGTCCATAAGGTCTTCAAGACACTCGGGAGAATCTACAGAAACAAAACCAACCGAAGATTCTGGTCATATTTGAGAAAGTGATACTTATTAATTAAAAGACAACTGAAGTGATGGGCCACTCTGCATTTTGTTGAAAACTCCATCATCTGAGGAAGACTTAGTAGATAACCAGACAAAACAGCCATCTTTTCGGCCCCGAAAATCAAATAACAAACAATCCAGTCTAGTTGGCGCATGTCAAAAGGATGAAATCGGAAGTAAAGAAAACAAGGAAATCCTAGAGAACTGGCAAATGGAGTTCTTATACAATTTCTGGCCCTTGTTATAAAAAAATAAATAATAAATAAAGAAGTCTCGAATCAGAAGTACCAATCCAAGCAATCTCTTATCATCAGAAGGAACATACGTAAGAAACCACCCTGCTTGCAAGCATTTCCTATCATCAGACCCATCATATTAGAGGGAACTACATGTGCAGAATGCCAAACAGAACATTTCGGAAGAAACAGGCCAACTCTACTACAATAAATATCGCCAACATTTGTAATACCAAGAGAGAAGAAATCATTGAGTTGTTTACATTCCATTTACAGATCTGTAAGATGGGATGGACAGATAATCACCTTGCAAGTTAACACATGCATGGAAACAGAGGTGGAATATTGCATTACTCTCTCCTGTGGCAGCAACAGATTAAAGCAATATCCTGACTCCTAGAAGAAAAAAGTAGGAGTCCTGACAATATAGAACGTTGGAACTCAAAATAAAAGCTGGCAGTGTTCATATCATTGAACAGTGAAACATAACTCCATGTCACATGAAGGAAAACTCAGTTAAACAATCAAACCTCGATTAAAAAAGCAGTCACCATTTACAAGCTTTATTACATCAGCCAAACCTTTAGTAGCTTTCTCACACAATGCTCTGAAATAGCTCATAACAGGTATCCATAATTTCATTCCAAAAATAATCTGAAATCCGGAGTTGAATAAATTCCTTGCAGAGGAGTCCACAATCAACTCAAAAATATCCAAAATAAAAAAATACGCAACAGCAGAGACAGAATAAAACTCAAAAGAACTTTCACAAATGTGTTACATCTTCCCTAACCAGAGATAATTAAGAAATCAGCCCAACAAATAAAGAAATGGCCATGTCTTACTAATCAAGGAAAACCATATATATCCATAGCTGGAACAAGGAGAAATCCAATCAAATCACCTAAACAACAGCTCGGCTTTTTTTCCGATTTGTTCAGTAAACAGTCATGAATCGCGAAAGGAGACGAGAAAATAATTAAATATGCGTAATCCATTAGATTTAGATGGTCTCTCTCTAAATTCAACAGCTTGCCAGTCGAACAGAAACTAAAAAATCTGTTTCATTGTTGAATGAACTACAGATTGTGCTAGCTTTCTTGTTCCCCAGCACAGTCAAAACTACAAAGAAATGAAACCAAAACCAAAGACAAAATTTTACCAATGATAGTGAAAAGAAGGAATCAACCAGACAACATTCTCTTACAGTAAATTAGACTTCATGTATCAGTGTACGAGTTGGAAATGCAGCCGAGTCAGACAACAAGCCTACAGTAACATTAGCCACAGAAAAAGATTCTAGAAGAAGTGGAAAATCAGGACATAATGACCTTAACAACTCTAAGCACATCCACAAACTCTCAAGATTTACGAAGCAAAGCAATAGAAAAAGTAGAAAACACTCTCCGATCACTCAGCTCAGATATATTCCTTAAGTGACCCACCCAGGAAAAAAAAATGAAAACTTGAATTAAAACTTCCAATTTCATAATACTAACAAACACAGCTATCATCGCATTAATATTGGTATTCTTTAAAGAACTCAAAAAACAAAAGAGAAATATGCAATCAAACCTCGAATTTTTAAAGAATCTTCCCCTCATGCATCAAAATTAAGAATCCATATACCCTTAAAATCAATCAGGGAAGTCTCTGGAGAAACAAAGACAAAAACCAAAAGAATAAGAAAACAAATGGGGGTAGTTAGAAGGATATCATGACCGTATATCAACTCTAAGCAAACATAAAGTGGCAGATTTTATGAAGGAAGAAAGGAGAATTATGTAACACTCCCAGCATACATCTCCTAAGTGACTTAAGGAACCAGGAGAAAATACAATCGGAACTTACAAGTTGACAATATAGATGAAGAAAACAAGAAAGAGAAAGTAGAATCATTCCAACTCCATACCACAATCTTTCCCCTGTAGAACACTAACATAAAAACTTGCAAGTAAATCCTAACTTCTTCTTATAGCTTAATACTAAGAGATCAACAAGTCCAAATGTCAGACCCATCCTACACAGTACCAAGCTCACCTTAGTTTACACACACACACACACACAAAAATTCCAAAGATCATAAGGAAACCTAAATCTTTCATAAGATCTCAAACTTTTACCGATTGTCACTTGAATATGCGACTCCATAATCAATTAGCAGGACATATGGCCCACAAACCTCTATAAAATCATATTAGAGCATAACAAGCAAGTGTTTTGGAGATGTATAATCAAGTTATTTATGAAAAACCTTCCCACAAGACTCACAAGAAATCAGGCAACATTCCATCAAAAGAACCACTTTCACAACTGAGAAACTAACACACTATATGTTCCTTGCAGAGGAATGTCAAAAATCCTTCTCAGAAGACTCACGGAGGAATCAGACAACAATGTCACTGCAGGATGACACTCTCTCAAGTAAAGATTAGGATGACCAAGTTATCCAATAAAATAATAGGTTGGCTCGATCAATAAAGTCAGGTATTATATCGAGGACAAATCTCACTTGATAAATATTAACCATGGAGAAAAATACAGCGAAAACAAAAGGCAAAAAGAAGAAATCAAACCAGAGAGAGTTCTCTTACTGAATCAGTTCCTTAGCATGCAGTAAGCTGGGAATGCTGCCACGTTCAACAGCAGGCCTAAAGTAACCCTAATGACAAAGATGGGACAGCAGAAGGAAAGAGCCAGGATATAACAATGTTGACTACTTAAAAAAAAAAAATTGGACACTTCATCAAGGAATAGTGTAGATTATATACAGCACTGCCTGAACAATCCTGGTCTTTGTAGTTCTCAAGTCAAGGGACACTGGCAAACACAGCTGAAACTCAAATTAAAACATCGCAGATTCATCATACCAAGAAACATTTAAGAAAAAACCAAGTGTCAACAGCAGGCATTATTTAAAAAACACACCTTATTTTGATTTGTTATTTCTTCAAAACGCACAAAAGAAGGCTGAAAAAGCATACGATCAACTCAGATTTCTTAAAGAGCCGTCCCCTCTTACCTTTGCAAATGGAACTTATTCCAAATTATAACAGAAACTGAAAACCATAATCAAACATGCTCTAACAAAAGGTTCCAACCCAAACATCTTCTATCATCAGAAAGAAAGTGCGAAAGAAACCAACGTGATTGCAAGCATTTCCTATCATCAGAGAGGTCACATTAAAGGAAACTAATTATGCAGAATGTGAAAAACAAACCGTCTTAAGAAACAGACCAAGCCTACTGCAAGTTCCAAAAGTCAGCCACAAAACCATGTCCCAACTTCAGCATACCAAAAGAAAAGAAAACAAGAGTTGTTTACATTACATGGAAAGCTCTGCTAAAGGTGGGATGACCAGACATTATACTAATAACAATCTTGTCAAAAGTTAACACATATGCATGGAAACAGGTAGAATGTTGCAGTAGTCCCTCTATGACAGCAGCTGATAAAAGCAACATCCCTGAATCCAGAAGAAACAGTATCCCTCCGTGACAGCAGCAGATTAAAGCAATATCCCTGAATTCCTTCATCCAAGTAGGATTCATTTATATTTAACTGGTTGAGAAGGTGCAAATGAAAATGAAAGAGGCAAGGCGAAATCACAAATAAAGAAGAGAACAATAAAATACCCCACAACTGACTTTTGCTGCCAGTAGGATACAAACTCAAAGACCTTTTTAATATCACTGAACCCTGAAAACATAACCTTCAGTAACATGAAGGAAAACTCGGTTAAACAATCAAACCTTAATTGAAAAGGGAAACCACCAGATGCATTAAACACTCTTGGTTTAATTGTAGTCCAAATACATCGCTTTAAAAAAAAAATAGCACACTAATTATATTTTTGTAGAATAATAGCAGATTGTGGATTAAAATGTAGAAAAACTAGCATAATTTGGAACCAGGCAAGGACTAAAATTCAAATACTGTCCAACAAAATAGGTGTTAAATTGAAGTTACAAAAGCATCCCCATAACATAGAGAGGACACCAACAAAACCAAGAATTGGCTTACTTATAAAATTTGCTTGAGCTGTCTTCCAACTGCAAAATTGACAGTGAATGAGAGAAAAACATAAATCAAGAGAACATATATAGAAGAAATGAGACTTCAGCAACTAGAAGTCACTTCCTTAACCCTAAAGCATCAAACCTTTTACCATAATAGTTTTAATACCCTGAACAGACAAACTCTCAGGGTATTACTTCACACTTTATAGCACCCCATGTTAGGCTGTTTTAAGAATATGAAGATTGAATACCAAAATGTTAAATATTCAGTCCTGGTTACCATAATCATGGCTGTATAAACAACAAATGTTACACATCACATCACAATACACTCACTAAGTTAAAAAAGGAGGGGGGGGGGGGGGGGGATGATGAATATACTAAGAAAGCAAAAGTAAACTACTAGCCATTGCATCATGAGCAAATATTTCAATCTTCATAGCACCTCTCCTCCTTGCCCCGGGCTTGAGACCGGCTGTGAGCTGCATGTGATGCAACATACAGGCGGAGTTACATGCATACAACCACACAGAGTACAAGCGCACCCAGCAAGCAAGTCTTCATGTTAAGAACAACCCTTGCTGAGTTATTGGTGACAATACCACAATCTGAAACCAGAACACACAGCACATACTGATAAAGCACCAGCCATGGACAATGCACAATTTCAATCATAACAACTAAGTTTTTGACATGTACACAAGTCAGGAGATAGCAACACTTCCTAATGAGCAAACAATCATTGGATGACTAGAGATGCTTGTCCAAATGGCTGATTTGATTCCATATAACCAAAAGCAATCTTAAGCCCAGACCATCTTACCAGAAATCAATCAGCATCCGAAAACAGACTACCAGAGATATAGCAACAGACTTGAACCATATAATCAACCACTTCTAATAGCAGGTTCTGCCAAAAAGAGAAAGGACCACTAACCAACACGAAGCACACCCAGTCAATAAAAATTTCCAAGACTTAATCGTCACCAATCCAAGAAAAGCATAGAACTAGCTCATCACATAATAACTGGGAGGGAAAATAGCCATCCGTCAATGACTCCCGACAGCCAAGTAAGCGCCACAATTGAATAAGCATCAACTGACCCTACAAAGCATGAGTAAACACAACAAAGATTGTGCTCGGTAGAAATCATGAGAACTTAGAATCAATTGCATGCATAAATATCTTTAGCCAGCAAGTCTTTGAACACCGCCATTACTTATCCTGACAAACAGGCATAAAGCAGCCGCTTGTAAAAGCATACAAACCCACAAAGAAGGCATATAAAAATCCCCAAAAAACACAGCATATGGCACCACATTATGTACAAGGCACTTAAACGGAAAGGAAAAGGCCACTGCTAGCTGCTTCAACATTGTTCAGCTGCTGAGAACTTATAAAGAGTATCTGAGACTTGACCAGCATCTAACAATCCCAATCCCCAAAAAATGCAGAATATGGCACCACATTGTGTAAAAGTCACTTAAAACGGAAAGGAAAAGGCCACTGCTAGCTGCTTCACCCATGTTCTTCTGCTAAGAAAAAACTCAAGAGCCAAGAAACAAGAATGCAAAGAAATTGAAGGAGAGAAATTGAAAGAGAGCATAAAAAAATAACCTCCCAAAAAGACATGCCTTCCATTCCTTATATCAAAATTACAAGCTGATCTGAAAATCACACTCCAACAAAGTAACACTTCCAATTATGAACAAAAGCTGATTAAAGAGACACTTTTGCTTCGCCAGTTATAGAAATCATCATGCACTTAATTAAACTAGCTATGACCCACTCCTTCAAACCCCATTTATCTTTGCTCATGTATTTCTCAACAACACCCTGAAAAAACACTATGAACAGCTCAGATTGTTGAAGGTTACTGTAAAAAACAGAGAGAGAAGCACAAAAAGAAAATAGGCATTTCATAGAACACTCTCCAGTTGATCTTTGGCCCTTTCTAAATATAAAAACCTGGATATCCTAGAAAAACATGCAAACAGAGCTTAGAATCAAATTTTATTCCATTTAAAGATGTTAGTCTCCGTCCAGAGATAATGTTCAAACAATTACAAGTTCACCATTTTGCACCTTAGATGATTATTTTAATGCCTACAATGTCCCTGAAGCTGATACCCTTTCAGAATTAAACATAGCAATTAAAGAATCGATTTGATGACATTTCAGTGATCTACAACCGTACTTTTAAAGCCCCAATTATCATTTTGAAGAGATGCTAGAAAAACACAAGTAAAGAAAGCCACAGCATCTAACCATGAATGGGAGTGACATAATCATATGGTTTTAAGGCAAGTAGTTAAGGCAACATCATCAGTCAACACATAGCACAAACACTCCACTTACTGCAGTCTATTTATTCTAAATGACACCCTGAAAAAATATACAACCAAGTTTAAACATAATGCAAGTGCATATTAGCATCATAATTTGAGAGAAGGTAAAATAGCAAGCATACTTCAAAGACTACCTAGGCCAAGTCTGTGTTAGTCTTAGTCAAAAAATCATTTTAAAATGAGGAAGCTGTAAAATGTCAATTAAAATTAGCCAAGGCAGTTAAAAAAAAAAACAAAAAAGAATTGACAAGCAACTTAGTTTAGTGCAAGACTACCTAGGCCAAGTCTGTGTTAGTCTTAGTCAAAAAATCATTTTAAAATTAGGAAGCTGTAAAATGTCAATTAAAATTAGCCAAGGCAGTTCAAAAAAAAAAAAAAAAAAAAGAATTGACAAGCAACTTAGTTTAGTGCAAGTTTTGAGAGCATTGTGTATAGAACAAGACTCTTTATTGTTACCATAAGCTTTTTTTCTGTCAAGCATTCAGTTCCTAAACAGCAACACATTTCCTTGAGACGCACATATAAAAACTATGAAGCAAAACAAATATGAACAAGTGTCATAGTTATCAAGAAAAGAAAATTTTGTCACGCAAGAACGTACGCATTTCCTTGAGACGCACATAAAAAAACTATGAAGCAAAACAAATATGATCAAGTGTCATAGTTGTCAAGAAAAGAAAATTTTTTCATGCAAGAACGTACACTAAACAATGGAAGAGGCCCAGGAAGAACACAAATAAACTTGAATCAAGCTCTATTAAACAAATAAACACAGTTCACAAAAGAAATGAAGGAAATAACTAAGAAGAACTCTCAGTTAACTCATGCATCAAGAAAGACACTCTTGGTTTAAATACATGCTCCAAGAAGAAATACACAAACTGAAACTTACACCAAACACTTGAATTTAAAAAAAAAAAAAAAAAAAAAAAAAAAACACCACCAATGTAACAAGTATGAAAAATGGGAGCTGGTAATTCATTAAGCACTCTTCGTTTAATCCTACTCCACAAACATCCCTTTAAAACAACACACAGACAAAGCATCCACTCATTATGTTTTTTTTTATAGAATAATTAGCAGATTGTGGATAAAAATGAAAAAACAAAGTTCCAACTTACGACACACTTGGTGCATTATTTTCCAAAACATCTGCAAAAGATCAACAGAAGTGAAGAGAAGAACTGTAACAACAAAGAGATCTAAAAGAAAGGGAAAGAAAATAGACCCTTCTGGTGAGAACATATTTGAAGCTGGTAGAAGCAATAACAAAAACCACTGCCATAAGCCCTAGAAAGCATGAGTCGCAATCCATTTACTTTAAACCAATTCACTTAAAACACTTGATGGGGTCCTAAAGAACACATAATCGAACTGAATTTTAGACTAGACACTCGAATGCAACATTGAAAAATATAAAAAGCAGTGGAACTAAAATAGTAACTTGGGGCTCTCGTGTATTCATACTCGATATATGCTCCTTCAAGAGATCATACAAGAAGTGATAGCAAGATCAGGCAGTGGTTATCATTTAGTATAAGAGAGAAAAAAACAAAGGTACTCCCTCAAGCAACTTGTGTCAATTTTATTCCTAAATGACGCCGGTCCAAATATTACTTAGGACATCCTGAAAAAGGCATATGCACTCATTCAGCTCAGACTTCTATTACAAAACCAAGGTCTACAAGGTACAAAAACAAAACTAAAACAACACTCAGAACACAAACAGCAAGGTGTTGAAAACATAATCACTCTTAGTCCATGTCGTGTATGATCACAATCTAAAAACACATAAAATAGGATTTTTAGACTCAAAACTTCAATTTAAGGGAAAAAGGAAAGAACCCAAAGAAGGGGAAAACAACATAAAGATTAACTCATGCAAAAAAGAAGACTGTTAGTTAAAATATATGCTCACAGAAGAAACACTGAAAATGAAACTTACACTAAACTATCTAATACAACCAAAAAAATGTAACTAGGAAAAGAGGAAGTAATTAGTACATTTAACACTATAGGTTAATCCTAGTCCCCACACATTGCTTTCTATTTTGAAAGAATAAAAACATAAAAGATCCCGGAAAAACACACAAAATAGCAGACACTAAAAGTGATTTTGTAGAATAATAACAGAATGGGAATTAAAATTTAAAAACAAAGTTATGACTTACAAGACACTTGTGCATCGAACTTGTTGAAGAAGTAAGTTAGCACCTTGAAACTTTTTTAACAATAAACCACAAACAAACACAAAATAAAAAACAAAAAAGTCGCATTTTTTGTTATATTCAGAATAGCTGTTGAAGAAATGATTCAGACCCCAACAAAAGTAGGGAAAAAGACCTTCAGTGTTTGGCACTTTGAGCTTATCAATGGCTTCTTTGTTTTCTCTTCATTGAGTAAACCGTCCAAACATGAAAATAACTAGTAAAAGGGTGAAGAACTACATTACATCATCTTCCGAGTTAAAGTATTGATTTAAGAAAATAGTATAGCTCCATAACTTACAACCATGGATATTGGAATGCCTATATGATGATAAATGTACTGCAGCATATCTAACTGATGCAAAAAGTCCTTCACCAAGGTTAGAAACCAATGCTGTAGAATAGTTTAGTAAGTCCCTGAATCACAATAAGTGAAAGAAGAGACCTAGAATATTGGAAACTTTTGAATGAAAAATTCTTTAGCCTACAGATTAGTGAGAGATAAAATACCCTACAGATTAGTGAGAGATAAATACCATGTACGATCTTAAGTCACTGAAGGGATCCTAGAAAAAAAAGTTGGCACCCATTAAAAAACACAAGGTAAAATCTAACTTTAGCTAAGTTTTTGTAATTTTAACTTGAGTATCTTCACTTCATGTTTCTGCAATGAAAGATTTCCATGAAACATTTGAACCATATGTCCATGGTTGAGAAAAAACACTAAAGTCCTAATAAATAATACTGTTCTAACAAATGCTCTGTCAGGCACGAAAAAAAATATTTTCATAAGACAAGCTAGCAATATCAATATCGATAGCCAAATAAATCAGATTGCAAAAGCAAGAGGCCTGGAAATTTACATGTTCAAACCTGGATATCTCTACGGGGGAAAGGAAGATCACAGATAAAGAACCGATCAACCTTAGCCCATCTAATTTATTCATTAAAAGGAATCGGAGAACACACAATGGCAAGCTCAAATTAAAAACTTTGCATATACGAGACAAGTTGATAACTAAGTTATCCAATTAATACACTAGATTAGCTCAAAAAGTGAAGTCTTCCCAGTAAAGATTTAGAACAAATATCTCACAGGATAGAAACTATTAACCATGAAGACAAACCTCTTGCCAGCCACACATCTGTCAGAAAACAATGGGTCGAGGAAGTTGCCAACAGCAAGTAAAGTCATTCCAACTAATATCAGACAGAACATATGAAACAAAAAACCCAGCTTGCAAGCATTTCCTATCATCGACGGGGCACATTAACGAGAACTAATTCTGCAGAACGCGAAAAACAAAGCTTCTGGAGAAACAGGTCAAACCTACTGCAAGTTTTGAAAGTCGGCAACACAGCCACATCCCTAACACATCAGCATAGCAAAAGAGGAAGTCCTTGGGTTGTTCACATTCCTTGGACAGCTCTGCAACAAGGTGGGATGACATAATAAAAATATCCTTGAAAGTTCAACAGTGGTATATTGAAGTACTCAACAACAGAAAAAAACGTATGAATTCCATGATCAAAGCTCAGATTCACTTATATTTAACAGGTTGAGAAGATATCCATGTGAGAGAAGGGAAAATCACATATAAAGAAGTGAACAATAAACAATCCCACTACTGTTTTCACTGCCAGGAGGAAACAAACACGAAGAGACAGTAATGGTTGTGAGAATGAAAAATAAAAGTTGACATTGTTAATATCATGGACCCTGAAAATATAACTGTCTGACAAGTGAAGTAAGACTGTTAAACAACCAAACCTTAATTGAAGGAGGCAGTCACCAGTTACAAGCTTCACCACATCAGCCAAGGCTTTAGGTGCTTCCTCAGACGAGGCTTTGCAACAATTTATAGCAGTTCTTAATTATTGCATCCCAAAAATAGTAGGAAATCAGAGGCTTTTAAATTCCTTCTAGTGGACTTTGCATCAACTTAGAAAGATCCAGAAAAAATACGCTACAGCAGAGGCAGAATAAAATTTCACCAACCTTCAAAAATGTGCTATATCTTCCCATATAGGATATAATTAAGCAATCAGTGCAAATAACTGAGAAATGTCCTTATCTTGCATGCAATGGAAGAAACCAATCAAAAGAAAACAATATGAATCCATTACTTGGGAACAAGGAGAAATCCAAATCAGATTGCCTAAACAGCAGCTCTGCTCTTTGCCCATCGATTCAGTTAATAGACCTGAGCAGAAGGGGATGAAAATATACATACCAAATACGTAATCCATTAGATAGATGGTCACCCTCTATATTCAGTAGTTTTCCAGCTGAACAAAAACTCAAACTCAAAATCTGTTCCATTGGTAGTGCAGAAAGAGAAGGCAGATATATTGTGGAATGAACTAAAATTCTGCAAGCAGTTTACCAAATCCCCAACAGCAGCATATATACCAAACGCAAGGAGTAGAAATCATCAAGTTGTTTACATTCCATGGAAAGCTCTCCAACAAGGTGCAATTTTCCAGCTCTGCTCTTTGCCGATCGATTCAGTTAATAGACCTGAGCAGAAGGGGATGAAAATATACATACCAAATACATAATCCATTAGATAGATGGTCACCCTCTATATTCAGTAGTTTTATTCAGTAGTTTTCCAGCTGAACACAAACTCAAACTCAAAATCTGCTCCATTGGTAGTGCAGAAAGAGAAGACATATATTGTGGAATGAACTAAAATTATGCACGCAGTTTACCAAATCCCCAACAGCAGCATATATACCAAACGCAAGGAGTAGAAATCATCAAGTTGTTTACATTCCATGGAAAGCTCTGCAACAAGGTGGAATGGCATATAATAAAAATATCCTTGAAAATTAAAACATATGCAGGGAAATAGAAGTGGAATGTTGGAAGTACTCGCATTGTGGCAGCAACAGATTAAGGCAATATCCCCTCCTCCCAGAAGAAAGCCTATGAATCCCTTCATCAAAGCCCGGACCCCTTACATTTGATAGGTTGAGAAGATGTTTATGGGAGAGGAGGGTAAATCACATATAAAGAAGCTAACAATAAACTACCCCACAACTCTCTTTGCTGCAAGTAGGAAACGAAATGAAGAGGCATATGTTTCTGAGAGCCGAAAATAAAAGTGGACATTTTTTAGCATCATTGAACTTGAAAATAAAACAGCTTGGCAAATCAAGGAAATCTCTGTTAATCAAACCTTACTTAGCCACAGGAGTAGAAGAAGCAGAAAATCAGGACATAATGACTTAACAACTCTTAACTACAGACGCAAATTCACAGAATTTATGAAGTAAAACAGTAGAGAATGTAGAAAACACTCGCTAATCAGTCCTGGCTCATATATTACTTAACTGACCGAGGGTACCCTGGAACACAAAAATATATCAAATTGAATAGTTCAAATTTGATAGTGCTAACGAACATAAGCATAATTGCATTAAACACCCCTGATTACACTTGCATTCTCAAAACACTGAAAAGAATGAAGAAACATGCAGTCAAACCTCAAATTTTCTCTTCGATCCCTCATGTATCAGAATATCATGAGTAGAATGAAATGAAAAGTTCCCTCCTTTATTTGTATCTGAGGTGGGGAACCCATGCAACATTTGCATAGAGTAGGTTTGACTTTTATTTTCTGTGATCAACCGTTCCCTTCAAATTAAAATTGTGCATCACTGGCTACAAAAGCATCTTTTAGTAGTGTTCTCCGGGATTTTGCAAAATCAAAATAACGCACTACTTAAGTCGCTAGAGGGACCTGGAAAATAGACAGCAAATTTCAAAATTAAGAACCAGGGAAGTCCGGAGAAACAAAAGACTAGTTGTTTTGTAAAGTTCCTTGCACTCGGTTAACAGGGAAATCCAACTAGGTTTTATATTTAAAAATTGGGGCTATTCCATCCGTTTCAAATTCTGATACTAACAATTCCATGGGGATATTCGATCCGTTTAACCGATAATTTCAATTAATCGCATCAACAAGATCTAACAAAAAGTTAAGCCTAATTTCTTAACCAATCAAAATAATTTCTATAAGAAATTCCAAGATTCGCGTGCTCCTACCAAATTTCAAGATTCGCAGAAATTTCAAGCCGAAACACACGCAATCTTCCTGTAGAACAGTACGATCATAGACATTGAGATCCTATCAGGTTTAGACTGAAAAATTACGGCTAATTTCAACCAGTTAAGATACCCAAGCCAATTCGATTCAACCCGAGGCTCGGCAACAAGATCGCATCAAATATCGAGAGGGACTGTCCTGTAATTTCAAGCAAGAAACCACAATCTTCCTGCAAAAACTATGGAATCCAATTAGGTTTAGACTGAAAATTTAGGGCTAATTTCTACCAGTTAAGATACCCAAGCCAATTCGATTCAACCCGAGACTCGGCAACAAGATCGCATCAAATATCGATAGGGACTGCTGCAATTTCAATCCGAAACCACAATCTTCCTGTAAAAAACAGTACGGTCATAAACCATGGGATCCAATTAGGTTTAGATTGAAAAACCAGGGCTAATTTCAACCGACTAAGATACCGAATCATGTTCGATTCAACAGAGACTCGGCAACAAGATCGCATCAAGTATCGAGAGGAAGCGTCTTGCAACGACCGAAAAAAACCCTAGCAATTAGACGCGAAAACTTGTTTCAAACTGCGTTAAACGAACCCTAATAGAAACAACAAGAAAGAAAGAATGAAGAGAGAGAGAGAGTGCTGCTGCGTTTGATTCTGAAGAGGACGAGTAATACTTATACGAAGAGAGTAATAGATGGACGGTTAGGATGAAACGGTGATTTGGAAATATACGGTAAGGATTAGTTTTCGGTTATTAAATAATAATATGGAGTTGCCGCGGTTTTTCCTTGGCGGCCGCATTAGAGCGATAGAAAGAGCAAGCCAGGTTGGCTTTTATTTTTATTTTTCTTGATTTAAATATTAAGTAAATTATTTATTAATCCCTCTATTTTTTAAAAATGAATTCATTAGTTCTTTTCTTCTCAAAAATTAATTATTTAATCAATTAATCATCTTTAAACAGTGTTTAATTTAAATTATTTTTTCTTAAAAGATGTTAATTTTTTCTCATGAAGTTTTTTCATATTTTTTTTTATTTCTTAACATAAAAATCAAAATAAATTAAAAAAAAGACGGACAAACATTTAAATAACAAAAAAATTCAGTAACATAAATAATTAGTTTTTAAAATAAAATGGATATTAACTTATTTCCCAAAACTAGGGGTAACATAAAAATCAAAATAAATTAAAAAAGAAAAACGGACAAACATTTAAATAACAAGAAAATTCAGTAACATAAATGATTCGTTAAATTCAGCATAGCTGTTGAAGGAGTGAAGAAGTGCCCTCCATCCTTCTTCTGACGCAGCAACGCAACTCCAATCAGTATCGAAACGAAGTCCTATATAATTTCTTTAGTCCTTTCTTTTTCTTATCCTTGTAGAACCGTGTACCATAGATTAGAGAAAAATGTGAATTTGACGGGTTGTTTTCTAATAATAAGAATTCCTAAAAGATCCTTTCCCAAAAATTCACAATTCAATTAGATGCGAAATCTAAAAACCTCATCATCTTCCTAGTTAAAGTAGTGATTTAAGAAAATAGTATAGCTCCATAACTTACAACCTTAGATATCGGGATGCCTATATGATTATAAATGTACTGCAGCATATCGAATCGATGCAAAAAGTCCTTCACCAAGGTTAGAAACCAACGCTGCAGAATTGTTTAGTAAGTCCCTGAATCAGAATAAGTGAAAGAAGAGACCTAGAATATTGGAAACTTTTGAATGAAAAATTCTTTAGCCTACAGATTAGTGAGAGATCAAATACAATGTATGATCTTGAGTCACTGAAGGGATCCTAGAGAAAAAGTTGGCACCCATTAAAAAACACAAGGTAAAATCTAACTATAGCTAGTTTTTTGTAATGTTAACTTGGGTATCTTCACTTCATGTTTCTGCAATGAAAGATTTCCATGAAAAATTTGAACCATAAGTCCTAATAAATAATACTGCACTAACAAATGCTCTGTCATGCGCGAAAAAAATATTTTCAGAAGACAAGCTAGCAATATCAACATCGATAGCCAAATAAATCAGATTGCAAAAGCAAGAGGCCTGGAAATTTACATGTTCAAACCTGGATATCTCCAAGGGGGAAAGGAAGATCACAGATAA